ATGCTTTAATCTCTTGCCACCCTGTCCGTGTTATGGTGTTTTGAATGCAATGATTTCCATTCTTTTTATATGCAAAAGGATATGTAATGTAAATATATGGCTGTATCTGAGTGACTGAGACTCTGCTTTAGTCAATGGTGATCTGTGAAATAACAGATCATGTATAAAAAAAAAAATATGAACTAAAACATTCAGTGACGTTGTGCTAAGAGTTAGGTGTTTCAAAGTCGCTGAACTTGTGAAAGCAAAGTTATGCAGTGATAACAATATAACACTGATAAACAAAAGGATGTTACTGGAATTTTTTTTATAGCAAAATAGTCTTCAAGTGATAAAGTGTTTCTAATGAGTGAACTAGTAATGGGCAATACGGTGTGAATGATTAGAGAGCGTATTTTTTAGGTCCTCGTGACGCTATGTTTTTTTTTTAAGGTACAGTGTTATTGTTTACTCCGTGGTGTTTATTTTAAAGTCAAATAACATATTAACTTTTATTGAATTAAAGGGAATAAAATTTCACACTTCAACAAAGCAAATTTTTTAATGTGCATTCTTTAACATATATGTGCTCTTTTTAACATTCCCGTTAACCATGCGATTCTAGTAGCACATTCCAAAAACAATAGAATAAGAACTTTAGATATAAACAAAAATTAAGTTTCAAACTATGTGGCGTAATGCTGACATTTTGCATCTTTTTTGTTACGAACGACATAGCTGATCGGCAAGTAAAGACAGTGTCTGCTTTTATTGTACGAAGAAATTTAAGAATCATATGAGCATACCTTATTCATAAGCTCTATTCCAACACGAGTTACGCATGATATTCATTCTAAATGTTTTCAAACTCCGATCGATTTCTCGTGTTTGTTTACATGAATTCTCGTCACGTTTCACTTTCACTCTGCTAATATACTGATCAACAGTTATGACGTCACGGGTTTGGTATTTAACTCCTGTGATAAACACTTAAACCTAGCAACGACAAGATTCCGTTTATATTATGCCTCTGTATATTTTGATTCATTTATTTTTACGACCTCAGATCAATCTTAGATATTGATACATGAACACTCACTCTATACATAAATTAGTCGTCGGTCAAAATTCTTTGAACAGTACAATAAGACAAACTTAAAGTTTCTCATATCGCTTTAACTGTGACACGTCTCTTTTTAAAAGAACGTCAGACCCCATGAACGCTTCCACCCGACCTCTATTTTTCTGTCTTCAGCAATAACCCATGACCGCAGCACAGTTTAAGGTTACAGTTACGAGGCGGGGCCTAATTTATACGGGAAATGTTTACTATGATGTTACACATAATATAGGGTCTTCAAAATACCACAAAATGAAATTATTTGCTATTTCAAACTGCTGGATAGCTGTAGACTACTTAAACACTTACTATTACACGCAGTTTTGTTATTTGTTAAATCCAACACAGTAATAATAAATGATTCATTGATCGCAATGCACTTGTCAATCTGACGTCGTTTCGCAATTATGACGCAGTTTGTACACAGTGAGAGACTGATCAAGTCACGTTTTGAACATTGAAAAATGTCTTTTGTTCGCGAATTAATCATAATTTGAAGTTATATAAAAGGCCGTTAACTTGGATGAATTGTCTATTTTTTCTATTTTGTTTATATAATTTCTGTATTTTCTCCAGACAAGTGATATTTTCGTGTGTTTGCATGCAGATTCATTGAAAAAGTAATAATGGGGCCCTAGTAAATCGATTTATTGCAAGGGTATACCCTCAATGTATCTTGCCAAGTTTTTATAAATAAACTCAAGAAGCATTAAGATATTTGAAAAGTGCTGCGAACCTCATGAATTCTTGCAAATAAATTAATCATAGCTATATTTAATGTAGTTGACCAGCAATATATTCAACCTTTCGTCCAACAAATTAATTTTTAGTATTTAAATAAGGAAATCTATATAGGTTCGCAGCACTTTCACAAACTACATATGTCTTGAAAAGAATTATAAATTAAACTAAGAATTTTAACTTTGTTATGCCCTTGCATTATTTGAATTTGTAGATGACCTCTTAACTGCAAGTATAATTGCTGCAATCATGTGACTCCGACAACACGTGATAAGTCTTAATTAAAAATCTAAATGCTTTCAATATGTAGATTTGAGCCACATTTGATTTTTTTGATTTCAGTAAGTCCTAAAAAGAATCGCCCATCCTTATAAAGTATATATTTTTTATCACAAAAAATCGCCGATATTTCGGCTGGAAACCTCTTAACCTTAACTGTGCTACGACACGCTAAAAATCGCTGTAACCATGTATAAACAACTCTCTCTTTTACATTCCTTCCTCTGTGTCTGATTAATCATCGTGATTATTTATACAGGCGATTTCACCATTTTGAAGCAAAAACGCATAACAGCTCGTTTCAGCGTTTTTCCATTTCGAGAAGGATATATGGAGATAACTAACAGTATTAAATGCCCATGGCCATAATACAATACAAAATAGGAGCAGAGCAAACATCTGAAACATCAGAGGTGGGATCAGGTGATTAGACATTTCCTTTCTTTAATACTGCAGATTCTAGCAACAATTTTAATGAAGTCATTTAATTTTCAACAGTATACACTAAGGTGACACCCCTTATAGATATTGACAGTGGTGAAGGAAAAACTTCAGGAGTACTGTGCAACAATATATTGAAGAAGTGGTGTGAATCAGATGTGGATACTCAAAAATTTCAAATAATTTTTGGAAAATTTGAAATCACGATTATACCAAAATCAACAGCTTAAAAACTTATGAATTTTCAACTTTATGCGCAACCATTCCCCACGATCATTAAAGTCCAGACTTTTTGATATCATTGACAGTTACTTCTTAAATTGAAAACTGAACTTGTAAATTTGCTTACCTGGTCATTGGTCATTTGCAAAATTATTTTGGTAAAACACATTCTGATTGCACACACAAGTACTCTGGAGTTGACATCAAAAAGATGCTTGTGTTTCTGATTGACAATATCAATAGTTTTTGGAGACCAGGTTTTCCAACAATCTATTGGAATTCCAATGGGTACCAATTGCGCTCCTTTATAAACAGATCCAATTTTATATTCATATGAAGCAGAATTTGTGCAAACTATTATGCGTGAAAAAAATATTAACACTTGCTATGGCCTTCAACTCGACATTCAGATATATCGACGACGTATTGTCAATTAACATTGGTAATTTTCTGGATATTTTACTTGAAAAACACGTTAATGGTAATCTAACAAACACGCAATATGATAAACGTGATGACTTCAACTTTTCTATTATCAACTACCCTTACTTATGCAGCAATATATTTTCATCACCTGCATACGGTGTTTATATCTCAGTTGATTCGATACGCAAGAGCGTGCCCTACGTATGAAAATTCCTGAAACGAGGTAAATTATTGACAAGCAAGTTGATGAAACAAAAATATCAACATTCTTGTTTAAAATCACCATTTTGTAAGTTCTATGGTCGATACAATGACCTTGTCAACAAATAGAATTTATCAGTGAGTCAATGCAGACTGACGTTGTTCATACTAATTGTTATTCCATTATTGATACACTGAATTGATGACGGATTTTTCCTTTTTTTCTGGATCATGACAAGGAGCACACGGCGGGTGTGTCCTGTCAGCAGGGGATGCTCACTTTTCCATGGCACCTGATCCCACCTCTGATGTTTCAGAGGTCCGTGTTTGCTCTGCTCTTATTTTGTATTGTTTTATGAACTTTGATATTGAATACTGTTCGATATCTTCATATCCTTTCTTCTTTGGGTATCCAGGTTAGAATAGGTCCTCAGTACCCCCCCTTGCTTGTCGTAAAAGGCGAATAATGGGGCGGTCCTTCGGATAAGACCGTATAAACCGAGGCCCCGTGTCACAGCAGGTGTGGCACGATAAAGATCCCTTCCTGATCAAAGGCTGTAAGTGCCGAGCATAGGCTTAAATTTGCAGCCCTTCACCGGCAATGGTGACGTCTCCATATCAATGAAATATTCTGGAGAGGGACGGTAAACGGTATACAATCATTCAATCAATCAATCTTCTTCTTCTCCATATCCTTTTTCTAATGGAGTCATTTTTCAACGTGTGTGGAGTCGTAGAATCATTGGTCTGGAATGGTTTTCTACGGGCAAAAAAGGACCCAACTTGTCGCAGATTATTGACTCTGCGTCATTTTTGTACGTAGAAGAATGACCTCTTGGTCAATATTCTACGTGGGTCACTTTTTGTCGTTACACCGGGCAGGTTTTTTTTTCCATATTTGGTCCTCTTATTTTAATTAAAGGACAGAGTGACCTTTATTTAGTGAGCGACAAATCCTCTACCCAAGAAGTGTTAGCTGGCAATGTTTGATAATCTAAGGCCTAATAGAATTTAAGTTATGAGTCGGACAAGAGAAAAGCTAACAGAGAGACGGACGGACATGAACGCTATATAACAAAATACGTCCCGCCTAAAACGGGCATATAAAAAGAAAATGATAATGAAAATAACGAACATTAAATGGTTCAATTCTTTCAGAACAGTTAAATTATTTATTCAGAGAAGTTAAAAAAGAAATCGGCATACATATATGACAAAAATATCATTTCAATTTAAAATCAATATCTTTTTTTATATATATACATGTACAAGCATCCCAGTTTGTTTAAATTTCTAAAAGCACATCACAAAAAAAATTTTCTAGCCTTCTCATGTTTTGAAAATTAACTGAAAAATAAATGAGCTTAAAAGTAAGAATATCTTTTACATTAGATTTGACTTATTTCAGTAATTTTCATTTCACATATGTGAGTTGTATTCACGGTACAGGGAACGTCATTCCACAGACCATTTTTGATTCCATTAGCATATATGAAAACACAATCTTCGTTGTTTTGGTCGTTTGGTTCACCTTTTCGCCAGGAGGTGAATGTCAAAGGTTGTCCAGTGGAATTCCATACAAAATTTCCCTCTACTGCCATGTCAGAAGCACCTATCCATGGATAGATATCTTTAAAAGCAAAAGAAAAATAAAAACTTTTACACTGACATGACATTTACCCTTAGAACCGTTTTTTACGTTGAAAATCTAGATAAATGAAAAAGTGTTCGGTGAGCAGCCTTGGGTAGACATTGTTTTTTCTCATGCATCTGGGATGCAAACCATCGACATTTCCCCTAACAGCGTCTGGGACCCTGAATTACTGGTTTTGTGATGCAAAGGCCCAAGAATGCATGTGTTTTCTTATTTGTAAATTTCTAAATTTTCTAAATTATAACTAAGAATTGTTTAGTTACTAGTACATGTGTATTTTAGTTGTTACCGTCGTACGTCTTCGTTACTATATGTTTAATGAAGATGTAAAACTGCCTGGCGTTTTTATTCCAATCCTGTGGCAGAACAATAAACATCATTATTTGATATGATATATCAGAACAATAAACATTTCTTATTTCCATACTTGCTATATCGTTAATAGTGAATCTAACAATCAAGCTATACTGTAATTCATATTCGCGAAAACTTTATTTTCTTAAATACACATGCTGTTTCAATCTCTTTATAGAATTTTATATAGAAAAAGAATTCGTTAAAATTTTGGTAATAAAATGTCGAACAACCAAGCTATATGATAAACGTGATGACTTTTCTATCGTCAACTTCCCTAACTTATGCAGCAATATACTTTCACCACCTGCATACGGAGTATATGTATCTGAGTTGATTCGATACACAAGAGCTTGCTCTACGTATGAACAATTTCTAAAACGATGTAATTTATTAACAAAAAAGTTGATGAAACAAGAATATCATTATTCTCGTTTAAAGTCATCATTTCGTAAGATTTGTGGTGGATACAATGACCTTGTCGGCAAATACAATTTATCATTGAGTCAAATGCTGACTGACTTTTTGCATACTTATTGTTAGTCCATTATTCATACACTTAATTGACGACGGGTGTGACCGGTCAGCAGGGGATTCTCACTCCTCCATGGCACCTGATTCCACCTCTGATGTTTTTGAGGTCCGTGTTTGCTCTGCTCAAAAGTATTGTTTTATGGACTTTGATATTGAAAACTGAGCGTTATCTCCATATCCTTCTTTTAACATCGGCAATCAACCGGAAGTATACGAAGGAAAAACACTAAGTTATTCATAAAACTGCAAGTATACTAAAACACGAGAGAAAAGAGAGAATACATTCAATGCCTGATATGTTTTTCCTCTTTTTGGGGTACAGGTTTTGTGGACATTTTCATGAGAACAAAATTTAAACTTACCAACATTCCCTCTACGTCGCTCAAGGAATCTTTCTACAAAGTCATTTTCCTCTTGAGATTCTATTTCCACCAGCACACTGCCATATTGGGAGCACTTTTGCTATATCAATCATAAATTTTAACTGATCTTGATACAATTTCTTTATGGATATGTTAGAATAAAAAGATTTTATTAATAAAATAGTTAATGCAGATTTTTTTTTTACAATTGTTAATACCTGTGCCTTATACCATGTCAATTCGTCAGTTGAAAGAAAGTAGCATGACTGATGAAAATATGCCCATTTTGACTCATTTGGTTAAATAATATTAGATTGTGACCGAATATGCATTTAGAGACAACATTTAAAGGGTGTTAAATATCGGTTTTCGGCGCACGGTAATTTCTTGACTTTCAAAACTTTCATTGAAAGCGATGTTTTCTTTATTATCTGACTATACGGAAGAAACAATGTAGATGAAATTAAATCCTTAGAAAGCGTATAATCTAGAGTTCTTTTGTGGAAAAAATAAATACTCTGACATTATAAATAATAAAACAAGATGTGTTTATAAAACACTGCTGCAACCATATGGTAACATAGCGAAGATTAAACTTTTCTTATATGCAAATTTAATATATTGGTATCCAAAGTAGGGTATTCTCATTGGAAATACAATTGTGAAATATAAAAGTAGGCCATGGTTAAAGTTTTTTTTTCATAAGCACGGAAATCGCCATGGTCAAGGCAATTGGTATTTAATGAATGGTCTTGCAACAAAGAAAGCATTTGTGAAGTATAAAAACCGTAGCCTTAACTCTTCAAAAGTTATGACCAAGGATGGCAAATTTAAAAAGTAGGTATTGAATGAAGGGTTTTCTCACAAGGATTATCAGAATTAAAGGTTTTCTAAACATTAAAAAGATTGTTAATCACATGTTCTTACCTTTTATAAATTACGAGATACATAATATATTAACTTCTATAAAGTGAATCTGTAAAAATGTCTTTTTCAAATTTAATATATAAAGTTGCTTATCATATACTATCGAAAAAATGATAAGTCCCTTTTTTCATAACATCGAATTTTACATGTCGCATAAAAACGTACTCTACGCAATTTGTGTTTTATATTCTTAAAGTGAAAAACATTTATTTAATATGTGCATGTGTCTGGTTTCAATTGATAATTATGCAGCCAAAATTTACGTTAGGAATTGTTAAAGTTTAAAAGGGAATCGTTTTTGTTCGATTTTAATCCGACTATACAAGTTTTCAAAATATTCTCGAATATCGTCTCCATCATTTGGACCATGTCTTTTTCACACCTATCGAAGCGGTTTGATGATCAAGACTCATTTCCATTGTTTACTTTACTTATTTCCTGGGCGACAATTAATGGTTACTTCAATGTTTTCTTGTGGATCATTTAATACAATATGAATGAGCGATTCATATAAAACATTCAACTCTGTAAATGAGCCCGGCTCTCTGTACTCCTAAGTTTTTTTTATTTTTGTGCCCCGTCATGAATATGCCTAGACATATAGTGTTTGTCATATCATCCTTTCGCCCCTCTGTCCTTCCGTCACACTTTGCGTTTAGCCCTGTTCAAAGCTCAGTTTCAAAGAAACCATCCCAGATATTTTAATATAACATCATATGCTGATAGATATTTATGAGAGCTATGCAACTGAATCAACTATTTTAGAACTTGACCTTTCCTTTGATTTTTCTTAAATTAGTATTTATCTCAGTTTTAAACATACCATTCAAGATGGTGTTATCAAACTTCACATGTTAATACATACTGATGAGAGCTATTCTACTGCATTACCGTGTTGTATCTAACCTTTCGTTTGACCTTCACTTAACATATCTGTAATTAGTGTTTGGCTCAATTTTTAAAATACTATTCTAGATATTTTTATTAAACTTCATATGTTGATACCTATTGATGAGTATGCAACTGCATCAACAAATTTAAACTTGACCTTTTATTTCACCTTGACCTCACTTTTCCTAAATCAGTGTCAAACTTCATACGCTGATACATACTGAAGTAAGCAATTCAACTGCATCAACTTTTTTGACCTTGATCTTTGCTTTGACTTTGACCTCGCTTATTTCTAATTAGTGTTTACATCAGTTTTAAAGATATCATTCGAGATATTTTTATCAAAATATGTTTATCATATCCTGTTACATACTGACGAGAGCAATTCAACTGCATCAACATTTTTGACCTTGGCCTTTCCTTTGACCTTAACCTTACTTTTTCTAAATCAGTGCCAAACTTCATATGCTGATATATACTGATTTAAGCAATTCAACTGCAACATTTCTTGTACTTTGATCTTTTATTTGACCTTAAACTCACTTTTCTGAAATCAGTGTTAAACTTCATATGCTGATGCATACTGATGTAAGCAATTCAACGGTATTGACATTTTTGACCTTGATCTCACGTATCAAATTGTTTTTAAATCAGTTTTAAAAAATCATTTTCAATATTTTTTCAACTCCATATACTGAAATATACTGGTGAGAGTTTTTCAGCGGCATTAACAGTTTTTGACCTTGGCATTTTCTTTGACCTTGACCTCACTTATTGATTGATTGTATATTGTTTAACGTCCCTTTCGAAAATTTTTGAAGCCGGTGAAGGGCTTCAAATTTTGACCTTTACTCGGCACTCAGGGCCATTGAGCAGTGAGGGATTTTTATCGTGCCAACGCCTGCCGCTGACACGGGGCCTCGGTTTTTAGGGTCTCATCCGAAGGACCCGCAACTTTCACTTCAAAGTGCCGAGCGCATGGCGAAGGAACAGTTGCTATCAATTTTAACGACTAGGTCAGTCGTGGCCGAGATACGAACTCACGACCTCCCGATCACGGAGGACCTCACTTATTGAAATCAGCGTCAAACTTCGTGTGCTGATACATACTGTTCACCCCTACTAATGTGTTCGGAACCTTTTAATTTTCGGTGTTCTGCAAATTATAAAACCCGATGAGTTCAGAGTAGCTCTGGCAGTGGCTCAGGCGAGAGTTAGCGAGTTTTCAGCGAGATAGGGTAAATTATTCACGGAAATGTGGCTAGGAAATGACTAGCACGTGGAGGCATGGTAAACAGAAAAGTAATGTTGCGTTTCAGTTTACACCCCCTAGAATCAGCTGATAATGTCTGTAGAAATGTACTTCGATCAATCGATCTCTTTTACATTCATTCTAACTTATAAAATAAGTATTCTTTATAATACAATTTTCTGCAGTCATGAATTAAAATTTTTTTGGGGACAAATATTTTTGCATGGGAACCGGGACTATATTTTTTGGCGTCAGATTAGCAAATGAGGCACCAGCATGATTTTAACTGACCAATCAGCTGAATGAGTATTGCATGATGGGTTACTACGAATACTACCTGAATTTTAAGCCTGAAAAAAAGAAAATCGTATGGTAAGTGAAAAGCATTTTTAAAAATATTATTTTCATGCTCTTAATGACAAACAATTCATTTGTTAAATAAACAGCGGAAGTCTAGGTTTCTGAAAGTTATACTGCAAAAGCGATTTGCGTCTGTATTAATTCCTTAGTTGTACTAATCGGTGAATACAATTGCCAGGTAAATTCCCTGGCCGAACACGTGATCACGAACGTAAACAAAGTTTTGTTCATTTCAATGCATAAGAGATGCTGCTCATTTTCCTTACCCTTGAAGCGCTATTGTTCTGAACTAGACACAAACTACATATTATTATTTTTTTCAATTTAACAACAAATTAAAAACGCCCGTAACATCTTTCATAGTTTCTTATCTTTGTATTTTGTTTGAAAGAACATTTTTTTTTAATTTTGTAGTCCATTAACATGATCGTAGATTGACCTGAACTATACGTGTTCGGAGTAAAATGTATACATGTATTTGGCGTAAACTTTGCTATTTTTTCAACGATTGGTCAGTTGTTTGTGGTAAGATCCTCTGTGTGCATTTATAACGATAGCCATATAAGGCAAACAAAGGTTTGTCAGTGTAGATGATAATGCACATTTTTTACCAGCAAATCGGTCACTAGTGAGCTCTAATTTTCGCCGAAAAGTATAAAATATATTGTTATTTTAACATCCCTCCTTTAACCACCCCTTTTCTGTTGAAAATCATGAAAGTCTTTCAGAAAGGTCTGGAAACATTTATTACAGGACATGTTTTCAAAAGAAACAGGCTATAGCAATATCATGTTTACTGCCAATTTTATTTATAAAACCGGTTCTACCCTATAACCTTTGAATAGATCAACCTAAACCACGTGTCTTAAATTTAAATCACAATAACATTAGTAGGGGTGCTGTTGCAAGCAGTTCAACTGCATCACTATTCAAGATATTCTGATAAAATTTCATACTACACTAATGCAAATTTTCATATTACTAATAAACCCTAGGCGGAGCATTCATTTCATATGGACATATTTCTAGTTTTACTTGTTTTTTTGTTTGTTGTTGATTTTTTTAAATAGTATCCGTTGCCTAGGAACAAAATGAAATTAATCAATTGTAATAAAATTGTAAAGTGTTCAAAGAAGACTTGTATAAATTGTTATCTTAGAGAACCAGTCAAGTATATCAATCAGACTTCTTAGCAAAAAATCAACAATCGTACAATTACTTATCTCTCTGGCAACTGACATTTCGTCACAGCAACAAGGCGACAAAGCTTAATTTTGGCAGATATTTATGTACGATAGTAAGAAATATTTTAAATTGAGTCGTAAATTTTCAGTTTAGCAAGAACAATGTTTTAATATGGACCTTACAACATTTTTAGTAACTAATTCTCCCTTGGAAACGATTTTTTGAGCACATAAATACCACTTAATTATATATTGTTTATTACTCCAAGCATCTTCAATAAAAAAAGAATCAATAAATTGTTTAATATTCACACTTGAATGTTGTCGACTTGCATGGATCTCTCTTTTATGATGGATAATAATCTGAATAAAACTAATTAAAAGGGTATTTTAGTGTACATTCTGGCCAATACTACTTTTCTCCTATACTTTGAAGTTTTACTTTGTAGTTCTTGATAGTAATCCTATAATTCATACCGAAAAAAATTATTCAAATCTCTTAATAAAAATATATACTAGTATTGTGAATAATAAACAGAAAAATAAAAGAAATAAATCTTACCATAATTTCTGAATATTCTCTATTTGTTTTTAAGGTTCATAAACCCTCTGATCACTCATGTTAAATGTTGCTTGAACGTTAATGATTTTCCAAAAGAAATGTATCTTTTAAGCAAAAT